GCAGCAGGCTTCGTCCGTCGCGGTCTGAGTGATGTGCCCAGTTGACGACTACTTTTCATGACAAGTGGAGTTGTATGCGGGTTTGGCAACCGACAGTGATAAGCTGATGGAGCTGCCGGGTCAGCCAAGTAATCCCGTGACGTAGCAACAGATACTCACTCTTAAAGCCTGGCGAAACCTACTGCACGGTACGGGACAGGGCCGAACTGGGGGTTAGTATGCAAGCCCGGGGAGACGGTGCAAGATGCTGACATCGCGAACCAGTAGGTGGCTTAAACCTGCAGAAACCGTGAATAGTCATCCCCCCCGCCCCCTGCGCTGTATCGCGATCAAGATGCATAACTTACACAACTTCAAGCAGAACCAAGGAGTATGATGGCACGGAACAAGACGCGTCTTCGCCATGGTCTCGACGCATGTGTTTCTAAGAGAGCAGAACGACTGTAACGTGCCATGGCCAGGAGTTGGGGGAAGAATGACAAGGCGCAGACAGATCAAGAGCGTCATGCCTCGTGAGCTCGACGAACGATATCGAGATCGAGCTTTGGCGCGCAAATGCACGAGGCCGAATCAGGTATCCACGGGGCGCTCTCAGAGGTCGGGCCAAGTCGAAGATGAGTCAGTCCAACGAGCAGGTTCAAGGGATGCTTCGGCCAAGTGAGCAGGCAGGCGGTTCCATGGCTTGGGGCAAGCGAGGGTGAAAATGCGCGCTGATGCGGCGATGCGTGACACAGGCTACCGGGCAGACCGGTGAGGGGAGACCGGAGACAACGGACAAAGTTGAAGCGAACGTTGAGAGGCGAGCGAAGCGAAACAGCCGTCCTGGCGGAGGTGATGTGAGGTTTCCTCGACAGGGGTCCCTGGAATCGTTCCGTCATTGAATTGTCGCCTCCACTCCAGTTTTGCGAGGTGAGACAAGAGGCGAACAAGACAAGACGGGTGAGAAAGCTGATGGGATTTTTTTGTTGCCTGCGGATGAAGCTGTACGAGTCAAGGAGTGTGGGAACCCGAGAGGAGAGGAGGAAGAGACCCAACTCTTCCGCCCATGCCATTCACCACAAAGTCCGTGCCGTGCCGTGCAGAGATGAGAAAGCTGCAGGAGCTATCATACAGGAGCTGCAGGAGCTGCAGGTGCGGCGAGAGCTGCCTACGAAGGTCCACTTGAGCCAGCTCGGCGCGTCTCTGGCCTTTCTTGCCTGCCGCTGGGCTGGAGCCTGTGCGTCCCAGAGCCCAGACACACTGTGCAGACGGCCCGGGGCTGCAGGAGGAATGACGAGGCAGCTTTGGCACAGGGCAGGCTGACAGCCTGCCTACATGTGCCTACCTACCTGCCTACGTCCTTGTACATCGATCCCAGGCGATCAGTTTTCCCACACATCAACTGGCAGACAGACTATACAGCGATGGACGACGAGCACAACGCAGCACGAGAGAAAGGCAGGTCAGAGGGCATGGCGCCATCGAACGGCCGTCCCCGCGCCCCACCCACATGCATGGCGCAGGGAAGCATTTTCATGTGCCCAGAATCGTTAGCATCTATTCGAGAACTGGACGCCGAAAGGCGGCTGCACTGGCGTCCCGTGGAATGGTGCTCGTTTAAGCTCCGCGAGATGGATGGGTCATGGATGCACAGGACGGGGACGGTTGTGGATGGGTGGACTGGCAGGCGGATAGATACTTGCCTAGATGCGACGGCTTGTGGTGTGGTGGTTCCCCATCTCGTCTTATTATACCCACATTCTGGGGTTCTGGGTAGGTAGTGGACTCGGCTTAACGATGTTGGCGTTGTGCGTGTGTGCTTGTGCTGATCTGTGATCGCTGAAATGCGTTCCCGCCCCTTCACAAGCAGGCACGAAACCTGGGGAGGGGGGGGCATGCCATGCCTTCGCGTACATTGATCGGGATGATCACCGTCAACACCCATGTGCTTCTTAAGCGGAACCAATGCGGGAGCGGACTCAGGCCGCCGATGAACCCCGCCGAAAGGGGGATGCCCTCGGTGCTCTGAACAGGCAGTCAGCCCAGCTCGCCTCGACAGGCACTGTTCGAGAACGGAGCAACGCGAGGAGGTAACTGTCGAGAGGAAACGGGGAAGAAAAGAAGAGACATGTTGCAGGCATCTGTCGCTTCGGTTCGGTTCGGTCACGAAGCAGAGCGGTTTCCTCCGAAGTCTAGGCCTGGACCGGGCCGACATCCTCTGCTTTGCCACAATCAATTTGTCGATGATGATATGGAAGCCGACTGATCCCAGGTGCGCGACACGCGTATGATGCCTTGTGGATGCGGTGAGCGCGGCCGGGAATGCTGTATCCTCTCGTGTTGTGCAATGCAGCCCTACGGGGCCTCTGTTATGGGTAGGTAGAATGGTAGCACTTGGACAATTGTCGCTGCTTGAAGCGCTGCGTGCAACCACGGTCCTGTCAACTTTGAGGCCAACTTTCAGGGCAGGATGCTCGCTCTGTTTGTACACTGGAGATTCGTTGCTGAGGGCATAGGTATGCATTACGATGTGATTGTGGTGAGGTACAGGGTGACCCACAGCAGGAGAGCGATCATACAAGTAGACGGGGTTGCTACCGTGCCTACCTGGCTACTTTAGTACATGATGGACGAAGCATGGACGAAGCGCCATCAGCCTGTGCGAATGCTAGAACTGGCGGGGCCCCTGCCTAGACCTTGCTGTCTGTGCGGGATGACTTACCATGTACCCCTACCCCGGTCGAAGCCGTCCCAAGCCCGACAAAGCAGGATCAAGGCAAGACGACCTTCGGGGCGGGGGGCCAGTTGAGTTCACGTTGGCTGCAAGTGAAATGGTCCGTCATCTCTAACGCCAACTTGGCGCAGTAGACCTTCCAAGCTGCCCCAAGCCCCCCCAAGACGCAAGACGCACGACGCAAGACTCAAGTCCAGGTCCAAGCCCAAAGCCCCAGGCTTCAAGAGCCACCCCCCTCTAGCGCCTTCCGCACCCCACCACCCTCGCCTTGGGACCCCATGGCCCCTGCCCCTGTTTTCCCGCACCGTCCGTCCAGCTGCTGCTTCCTGCGCTGCCTCGCCAAGCCCCCCTCAGCCTGGTTCTTTTGCTTTTTCCCTCATGCACATCCAGGGCCCTTGAACACGCAAGGCTCCCGTGCCTAGGCAGCTTCGGTATTTGAGCCTTTCAAAAAGAACAGTTCCAAACCAGGCCTCATCTGTCGAGGTCGATTGCTGCAAAGACAAGGCCAAGGCTGGGAGTAGGGGCAAGGGCCAGGACAAGGGTTTCGGTTAGCAGCAGTATCGGAACAAAGGAGACTGACCAACTTGACTGACTTCTGCTGTTGCATATACAGATGCAAAACTGCGTCCCAAGCTGAAAAACAAAATACCGAGGCTCCAGACCTCGTTGCCTGCCATGCTACTTTGACATTTGCCGTGGCCGTTGGGACCTCGAGCCGTCGACCACAGGGCACTGAGCAAAGCAGCGCTGAGTCGATTCAGGAGAAAAACTGCTTGCGTCACATCGCATCGCACTGCGCCACACATGGTACTGAATCGTCGCCTCCCAAATTCATACTCCTCGTTGCCGATGATCTCTCGAGCCCTCAGGAAGCCCACGTTGGTTCGGCACTATACCAGCGCCATCGCCGGAGAGAGGAGAGAGAGCAGGTGAAGATGAACAAAAGGCCGCCCAGGCTTGACGCAATACACACCTCTTTCAATACGAAAAGAGATTGAAAAACAAGAGATCAGGCTTCGAGCACATCCGTTTGTGGCCCTGCCTTGATAGTCCCTGGTCAGATTTGACTGAACAGAGTGGCATGGGCAAAATCTTCTGGCAACCGCCCGACGGCGACGCTCGTGTTGTCGCCTTGCATCCATACGCCAGACTGGCTTGGCCCCAAACCGAATCCGCCGTCTGTACAGTAGTACTACATTGGTCTTCTCACATCTCCCCGACATGCAAAATACAAAGAACGGCACAGTACAACTACGAATGCTCACGCACGCTCAAATCCACACACACCCGCACCTCACCAGCCAAGCTCCTATACACACACACCTCCCCCCTCCACTCCTGACATCAGTTCTCCCTCCCCCTCTCCATCCAACCAGGCCATCGCTTCGTACGGCCCTCCCCCAGCTTCGTTCGCGCAGGCGCAAATCCGTCCAGGCAGACTAGTGACGGCCGCCGCGGCATCATTCATCGTGTCGGGCCAGACGTGCAGCGACAGCAGGCGTATCGCAACGCTTGCTATCTCATCGTAACACGCCTTCAATCCTCGTTCAGCCTTCTCATCCCATCCAGCTCCTCAGCCAGCCCTTCTTTGACCCTGATTTCTTTCGACTTTTTAACCTCCGGCGCAACACAACTCTACAGAGTCAGAGGCACCGACTCGTTGCTTGTCTTGCCTGTCGCGCCGCTCTGCCCGAGTACGAACGACCCTTCGCCACCGGCCGGAACGATATCCCATCACACCTTACCTAGCCTTAGGGCCCTCTGGCTCCCCGGGCCTATCATCGCATTCCTCCTCACCCGTCCCTGTCTCGTCCTACATTTTCCTGTCTACATTACCAACCAGAGAAAATCTCACTTCCAGCTTCACCTAACCATACCCCTTCGACTCACTTGGACGAGCCCTTTAACGTTGCAAGGCTCATCATCTTCTTTCAGCTTGGCCGGTGTCGCCTCACAGCCCTTCTTGTGGTCTCTGCGTACCACCCGTCGTTAAGAACGGAACGACACTACTCACGTCGCCGTCCGTCAGGGACCGCGCGCCTCCCACCCCCCCCCCCAAGCCAAAAGGCCCCAGCCCAGCGTGCGCCGCTCGGTTCTCTTTGCGCCAACCACATGCACGAGTAATCCCGCCTGCATCGCCCTCTGCGCACCGCTCATCCCTTCTCAGATCCAACTCGACTTCGTTCCCGCGACCCAGCCAGAAGGCAACCCAACTATAACAAGACACGTCGTCGATGACTGGACTTGTCTGCGCAAACCTACCAGCACGTCAACCTTGACGTATTCAATGTACTCCACTCAACCAAACGGCGCTGACAGTGGCACAATCAATCCCGCTGCTCTCAACTCGGCTGGTAGGTGCCTTCTCCCTCACCCTCTGGCGTAGCAGCCATCTCAAGCCGCACCCCCTCCTGTCCCCCATCCCACCACCTCCCTTGCCGCCCGGATCGGTTGCATCTTGTCGCGGGTCCTGTCGCGCTGTCCCAACGTCAACGACACTTTCTTCGTGACATTGACGACGCGTCGCTGCCCTTGCATCACTCCACCCAACATTATCCGCCATAGCGTGAACCCCGCCATGTTCAGCGCTACGCGATGCTGATGCTCACCCTCAATTAGATCTTCTCAACACGACCTCGCGCGGCATCAAGCGAAGCCGCTCGCCAGACAACTATCAGGAACCTGCTCGCGGTTCAGACGGTACGCTGCTCTCTCATTCCCCATTTCCGCGTCGCTGTTGCATGCGACGGGCTTGCGACTGCAACACACACACGCAGTCACACCTTGTTGTGCGACAACGTGTCGGCAACACCAGCTGATTTGGCGACCACGCGAATAGGTGCTTCCAACCCCCGAAAGCGAGGGAAACAAATGAAGTCACGGGGATCCGAGCCTGCCGGCCAGGCGCCCGTCGCGGGCCTACCTCAGGGTATCCAGCCGCCGCACACGCCTCATAACCCGAACGCGCCGCTGCCCGGCCAAGCTGTCGCGTACGCGCCCACGCAGGCATCGCCTCCACCAAAGACGACGCCAACCAAGACGACGCTGAAGGCCCTGCCCACAGTTCGAGACCATACGACCGACCAGCTGAACCCCAGCGGAGATGAATATCTGCCGCGCGAGATTGATGAGTTCGGAGAGAAAAAGGTCATGGCCAACGGCCAGCTGCTAGGAGGGCGGACCTACCGGTGCCGCACATTCCTGGTGCCAAACCGCGGCGATCGGCTGTTCATGTTGGCAACGGAGTGCGCCAGGGTCTTGGGATACCGAGACTCTTACCTCTTGTTCAACAAGAATCGATCACTTTTCAAGATCATTGCCAGCCAGCCTGAAAAGGATGACCTAGTGGCCCAGGAAATCCTCCCCTTTTCTTACCGATCGCGGCAGATTGCCATCGTTACGGCGCGGTCCATGTTCCGCCAATTCGGCAGTCGCGTCATCGAGAACGGACGCCGCGTCCGCGACGACTACTGGGAGACCAAGGCTCGAAAGCAAGGTTTCACCGAGGCTGACCCTGCGGGCGAGAAGCGGCCTGGACAAGCCAAGGCTCGCGAGGCTGCCGAGGCTCAGAATCAGGTCATGCTTGGCGGCCCTCAAGGTGAGATTGTCTATAGCAACGCGCCGGCCCAGTTCCCTGGCGCGCCGCAGCAGCCTCAGATTGTCCAGCCGGGCATGCTCGGGCCGGCTGGAGGTTCGACCCGGATGCCTATGATCTCCCTGGGTTCGGATCTCAGCGACACTCGCCCACGTGACTATAGCGTCAACTTCAAGGGAGGTCCTCGCCAGGAGATCACGGGACCACCGTACCAGGATTTGACGCGTCCAGCTCAGCCAGGCGAGATCAACCAACAGGCACACCATGCTGCTGAGTACAACAGGCAGGTCACGCAGAATCGTGAAAGGAGCAGCAACTACCTGCAGGACCACTGGCGTCGCCCACACGAACAGCCTCAATCAGCCAGCCTGCACCAGCAGCAACCCATCAGCACGACCGAAGCATCTGTACCAACGAGTCGGGCTGCTGTCCAGTCACCTCACACTTCCTCCGTGAACATGTCGCAGCCAGGTCTGGTTCCCAATCAGAGCCCTCAAATGGGACTATCGAACCCTCCTTACTCTCAGGCGATCCATGCCCAGAACCCTATTAGCCAAGCGCCGATGAGGGGCATGCCACAGAGCTCGCCGCAGCTGAATAACAGACCGACGTCACTGGGCTCAGGAGCGACCGGCAGTCTGTCTCAGTCCACTCCCAGCTACCCTTACCCAGGCGGCTCCGGGCAGATGTGGCCACAGCAGATGCCGCAGGCACATCAACACTATCCCGGGTACACGACGCAAGGGCAGCAGCAGCAACAACAGCAGCAGCAGTCGCACCAGCAGCAGTCACCCGCTCCCCAGCCTCAGCTCCGACAGCACTCATCCAGCGGCGTGCAGCCAGGCATGCAGTTTTCCGGCATGCCGGGCATGAGCCAGGGTTATGGATCGAACCAGGCCATCTACTCTGCCGAACAAACACCACGACAATACATGCCTCAGCCAAACCCGGGCGCCCCAGCCGTTAGCCAGGCATGGTCGAACCAACAGTCGCCTGGCGCGCAGTGGTGGGCCAACCAACCTCAATAGGCGCAACGCACACAAGTCATGATGAAGCAAACAACGGGCCGTTCCTCACGGGAGCCCGTGACCCCGCCGTCTCGGGGTCGATTATTTATATACGCAAATGGTCAGAACACGATTTTCGGCCTTGTTCTCTTGGCTGCCGTATTTGGAGGATACCCCGGCATACATTTAGTGGTGGCTACTTTTGTTTTGTTTGGTTGACCGATCGTCCTGGGAGTCTGCCCGATGCATTCATGCCGAGGATTGGGATAGAGGAGTTGGGCGGTTCTGGGGGGATGATAGGTTTCGATCGATTGCTGGGGCGGTCTTCCGTTCATGATGCGATACCGACTTGGCGACAACACACGGAAACCAGTGTCCCTCCTTCCGAGCGCTGTTGAGCTCATCCACAACCTCGACATGACTTCAGGTATATCGCTTTCATTCTTGTGCTGTCTTGTGTGTCTTTTTTTCCTACTTGATTTTGGCTTGGATTTCTTCTGCAATCCATTGTACCTTGTCTGAGATGCCAATGACGGTGCACGAGGATAGGGATGGATTGGTGTCGGCGAAGCAGGTCAACGCGGCTGGCGGCCAGATTGACCTGTAGCTGTCTTGCGCGCGGTGGCTTTCTGGGTGTTTTTCTTTCCATGCAAGGCAGCACATCCGCCTGTATTGGCCGTTTCTCTTTCTATGCCGCCTCTGCTTGTTCGGTTCTTCGTTTCTTAGGGCGGGGTTCTTGCAGCATAGGAGGTGTTTTCGCTTTTTTTTTTCGCTGTGATTTTGGCCAGGATACCTTTTCAAGTCGGATACACGTCGCAACGAGAAGGGTAGAGAGGCCCTGTCTCTGTGTCGTTGTGCTTTTCTCGCTGGGTGAGGAGCAACTTTGTCCGGGGGCTTCTCTGCTTTTTTTTCGTCTTTCTGTTTCTCACCTTTTGCTATTTCGTTCTTCAGTTTGATAGGGGGGTGGGCTGCCTAGGCTGCATGGGATACCTCAACGATGGGAATACGCTGATCAATTGCTCTTCATCCTTGTTACGTATCTTGTGTCTTTCCATTTGTGATTGTTGCTGTAGTTGGTGGATGCTGCTTGTAGACCAAACGTGAATGTACGTGTAGTCGACAACAAGAAGGATGTAGTTTCTGTGGCATTATCACGCCGGCAGCCTCGAAACCCAGAGCAGCCGCCCAGCATGTTGTGACGGATATGGAACAGGAGCTTGCTCCGTCCCTTTATCGTTGCTCTTCTTCGTCTTTAATCACTGTCATTGCCATCCAAGGCCTCGTCAGCCTCCTCCCGGTCAACCCTGTCCTCGTCTCCTTCCAGAGCATCGACCGTCTCGTCAGCTTCACTGTCCCCTTCTTCTTCCTCCTCCTCCTCCTCATCGTCCTCTGCCTCCTCGTCGTCGTCCTCCGCCTCATCCGTCTCATCGCCGTCCTCGCCTTCCTCCTCCGCCGCCTCCTCCGGCTCCGTGTCGTCACCACCCGCCGCTCCGACCCCGCCAGCAGCAGCAGCGGCGGCGGCGGCGGCGGCCCCCGCCCCCACCGCGATCCTCGCCTTCTTGGCCCGTGGCTGATCGCGCGCCTCGCCGCCGGTGGCAGCATCCCCGGTGGCGGCGGTGAACGTGTCATCCGGCCCCGGCGCCGACATGGTCGACACGTCGCCCATGTGGGAGTCGTCTCCGGGGCCGGTCCCTGCCGCCGAGGCCGCGGGGCCGCCGGCGCCGGTGAAGCCCTCGCGCTGGCGCCGGCGGTAGTCGATGCGCTTCTCCGACTTTGTCTGGGCGTATTCTATCGGCATTGTCAGTTGTTGTTTGGGTCTTCCACGGCGCCTCTCCCTGTCCCTCTCTCTCTCTTTTTTTTTTTTTAGAAAAAAAGAAAAAGCGAAAGACAGGGGGGGCTAGGGACATGCAAAGGGTGAGAGACGCACTCGCGAATTCGGCCTCCAGGGGCTCCTTCAGGAACGACAGCTCCGTGTCCTCGAGGGCCTTGAAAACGTGCGTCGGGTCGATCGTCTTCTTGCCGGCGTTGAGGGTGTGTTCGTTTGCGCTGGCGTGTCTCGTCAGTTCCTTTTTCTTGAACTTTCTCTTCATGATCACACTGTCGAGAAGCAAACGACGAGCTAGTTCGCTACCGGAGAAATCAAAAAAGGGGGCAGAAGGGGCAGGCGGGGCAGAGGAGCGACGCACTGGGTGGCGAGGTAGTTGACAAAGACGGCGGCGCTCTTGTTGAGCGCCAGGATGGCGTTGGCCTGGATCTGCGTGCCGGGCGGCAGCACGCCCTTGGCGAGGCGCGTGATGATGGAGCGCGGCAGGGTGAGGTCCTCAATGGTGACGGCGTCGCGGTCCTTGTCCTTGGCCGACGCCTTCTCGGGCTTGCTGCTGCCTTCTTCGGGCCGGGGCCCGCCGGCGCCGCCGCTGGGGCCCGCGTTGGCGGTCGTCATGGACGTGTCGGGGCGGCCTTCTGCTGGTTGTGGGGGCTGATGGCTGGTGGCGGCCGAGGTCGAGGCTGGGGCGGCGCCGGGTGTGTCTTCGTCCATGGGGACGAAGCGGGCGGCTGAGACAGAAGGGTTGGCGGGTGAGGGCTTTTTGGGCGGCATTGTGGTGAGAGCAAGGTGTGTGTGTATGCGTGGGCGAGTGTGCGTGAGGTTGAGTTTTCGGCGAGGAGGCCCAAGGTGGGTGGCGAGAGTCTGGCCCTTGAAATCTCTATGGTATTCCTTGTCCCAGATATGATTCCAATGTAGTCTCTACTGGTTCATCGCGATGAGGCTGGCAGGCTGACAACCAAGTGACGAGGCGCAAGCGGGAAGCTGGTCGAGTGAGGTACGGGGTTCTGTTCTAGGTGAGGTTGAGGTGAGAGCGGTGCAGGTGTAGGTGCACGCGCCCACGCCACACCCTGAGACGCGACTTTTGCGTGTGGCGCGTAAAGTGGTGGCTTCCACCCTTCTGTCCCGCTGGCCCGTGCCTCCTCACAGGAGGAGGTGCCAGAGGTACCTACCTACCTTACCTTAGGTAGGTAGGTAAACCTTCCCTTAGGTAGGTAGGTAGGTTGACAGGTACGTACGTACATAAGGCAGGTAGGTCCATCATACCTCCTGCGTGTCACCATTCACCATCAGAACAGGACGAATGACCTAGTCGTCACCATCGGAAGCAGTTCAAACCCCGCGCCTTCGTCAGCGTCGTTCATATACCTTACACTACACAATTGCACCCCCTGCCTGACACGCTCTCATGACACTTGCCACTGCCACTGCCACTGCCACTGCCCCCCAACGAGGTACACGTGGAGCATCGTGGGCGCCTGCCTCTGTGATCCGATCTTTTTGTTTCAGACTGGCCACACCGGATGCCGTGCCTAAAAAATACCAGATCGTGAGAAGCGTCGCGATCCCGTCTAAACGGACGCCGCACGAGATAGATTGCCGAAGAGTTTCGTATCGTCTTCGTGCCCAAGTCATCCGATCCTCCACGTCAGTCAACAAACGCATGACAGCCCCGCGAGGCAGACCGCGCTGTCAGAATCATTTCTCAGGTGTGTAATGGTACGTATAGTGTGTCAAATTCAGCCTCCACGGCTCTACCTAGGAGGAACACTACCGACCGGCCTCGCGTGCCCGAGTGTGCTTCGCTGCGCCATGCTACAGAGCCAAGCAAAGCAGTTGCTCCGTGTGCGCTTCGCTCGCAAATATTCAAAGGGAAATGAAATGAGGGAGTGATAGAAAAAGAAAAAGCTAAATCCATGAAGAGAGGGGGGAAGGACTGGCTAAACGAAAGGAAAGGGCTGCAGTCGGCAGCGTGTCATGAGTATCATAAATAAAAATGGGGTATCACCAGCACAAACATCCTCCCAAACATACAGAACCACGAGCCAATGCCCTCAGTTTTGGAACTTCAGTGTTTCCCCGAGGACCCTCTGCTCTCGATCCATCCACGCCATCCATGTAGTCCCACGCGGTCCAAATGGCAGCCGGCCTTCCGCAGGCTTGTGTGGCCATGTGGCCGGCTGACGAATGTAACGAGGGCAAACACGACCAACGTGCCATATATCCTGGGCACGTCCTCGCAAGAGGTCACACAAAACCCCGCACGACGAAGCCTTCGGCAGGCCTCGTGCAGCGCGTGCGTCTTGTTTCTTTCCTCGTCTTGCGGGAGGGGCGCAGGGATGGCACGCATCTGAAACGCGTCAAAAACGCACGTCGTTCCCTGTCAATCGACACGACACCACCCCAACTCACATCTTCCCGGCGGGGAATGGACATGGGTGATGCCGGCAGGTTCTGCCGCTGTGCTCACGCGCCGCGGCATCGTGTTCGGTCTCAACACCCCGCGGCGCACAGGAAAACGCCTGTCTTGCTGTCCCGCCCATCAGCCAATAGCCCGGCCAATCGCGGACTGTGGGACGGCAGGCCGCGGTGAGAGTCCGCCCAGCGGAACCTCGTCATCAAGGCATGTGCTGGGCGGGACTGATGATGTAGAGAAGACACGATGGTGGTTTCGCTGCTCGGAGAAGGAGGCTGAAGAACCATGGAAACCGTGCTGGGTGAAACCGCCGAGCTGCTCATTTGATGAGCGAGGGGAAAACTCCCCGTCCGAGTAGAAGCTGTGGCCATAGCCGTACCACTGATCGCGAACACTGCCACCACCAAAGCTGAAGCTACTGCGCGAGCTCTGTGTCCTTCCGTGGTAGCCACGAGGCGATGTGGCAGATGACGAGGGTGGGTATTTGGAGAGTCGGGATGTTTGCCGCTTGGGGCTGGGAATAAAAGCTTCATCGCCCTGAACAGCCTCGTCCGTCAACCCGGGCCGCGAGTTCGGTGCACGAGCAAAAACAGGCGTCTGCGGAATTTCGATGCTCTTCTTCCCGCCGTTGGTGAATGTGAATGAGTGTGGCGACTGGCTCTCTCCCGATGCTCGAGGCTGATATTGGTTGTGGTTCTGGTAAATGACCACACTTGGCGGCTTCTTGAGCGAAGCTGTCGATGCGTGCTTGGTCAGGGAGGCAGGCACCTTCTCAAAGGCGTCTTCATCCTCCTTTTTATACTTCCAAGACTCAATCTCCTCGTCATCGATGGGCGTGATGCCACGGTTGATGAAAGGAAGACGACCTTGTCGGTAACGGTAGCACACAAGTATGGTGCCTCCTATCAAAGCCACGGCCAGAACAGACAGGACCGTGCTGAGAGCAATGGCGAGCGTTCGGTCAGGTTCATCCTGCTTTTGGCCGTTGCCGTCAACGCGGGGGGCTGAATAGCCGGGTTCGTCCGCCGACAATAGAGTCATGGCGAAATGTGGCGTCAGTGAAAATTCGCGGGGGACGGAAAAATAGCGGTGATCGTCACCGCATGTGGTTGGAACACATGGGGTGTGCCGAAGGCGAGCACGCGAGGTTCACCAAGACAATGGGGTGCGCGATCCAAGATTGGTGAGCTCGTGACCTCGGACTGAAGGTTGGAGCCCGGCTTAAAACGCTGTTGGAAGACACCGGTATTCAAGAGAACGCTGGGGTTCCTAGAGGATCAAATATCGTGAAACGAAACACGAGAGCGAGCGTGGTTCGAGATGACACTGCGTAAAGATGGCCTTGTCAGCAAGCGCTTTGACGAGCTGTTATGACAGCCATGGAAACGGTAATAGTAGTGGGCGGGAGAGAGGAAGACACGGTAGCGGATGAGCTGCAGAGAGGGACAGATAGGCAGGCACTGCATATATACCATGCCTATCCTATGTTCCATGGACTGTCGCTGCAGTCCAAATGGTCTGTCGAAACCTCTCTGTGCAAGCTGACCCACTCATCAACTGTCCCTGAAGGAAACCATGGCCAAGTCTCATCCGTGGCAGCGAGGTCACACGTGTCGAATATGTGGACTATGATCAAAGACCAAGGCTCGAGAATAAGATCGAATTTGACATATGATGGGTGGGGAGGTGACGAGCGCAAAGGAGCAGAGGGACATAAGGGGAAACCAACATGAACGTTTAGCTGCTCGGCGTTACGCAGGACTGGATCGATTGTCGATAGGTTTTCCGACTCGAGGATGAACAACGCGGCAGTCGGTCGGCCAGGTTGGATGACCTTGAGGCAAACGGCAGAAGCCTGGGGATGAGTGGTGATCTCAAGAGGCAGGCGGGTTTCCTATATAAGCGACGGTACTTTGCGCGGCGGTGACGGGTGGCAGGGGGTGCAAATGAGCTGCAGTGCTGCGGGCCTCGTGGGGGGCCAGGAGGTGGTGCGGAACACCTCGGGCTACCACACGGCAGTGCAGGGTTGGGTAGACATGGGAGCTATTACTACTCTACTTGTAAATCCGTGCACGGGCGTGGAGGCCGGGGTTCGTGAATATTGCCGCAGGTTAGCTGATGCACCATGATGTGCGGGTGAAGTGGGCGTTGGTGTTGAGCGGAAACGCACTGGCGTTTAAGACAAGTTGGTGGTGGTGGTGGTGCAGGTGGACCTTCGGAGAAGGTTGAAGTGCCTGCAGGGGAGGGCCCAGGATGGACAGGTTGGCAGGTGGGCAGGGGTTGCATGTCGACGCGCAATGAGCGACGGTGACGGGCCGGGCGGGAGGGGGTGTATCCTCTTCTACCTCTCGAGCCTCTTCCCTCCCTCTCTTGGCTCGATCATCTCTCTATGATGTGCGGTGTAGGTACAATGACAGCGGTACCCCTGTTGACGAGGTCGACTGTCTTGTAAGCCGTTTGATGTCGGCTTGATGACGGCGATTTGTCACCTTTGCGTCGAACGGTGGTTAGACGACAGGTCTCAGAGATGGGACGACCAGGCCTGCGAAAGAGTGAAGTGAGGCATATCGACGATTTGCAGCTGGCTTGAGTCTGTTGCGTTATTCCTTGAGCCTGCTGGCGCCACGTCGAGGGGACGAAACTGAACACACGCCAACCTGACGGTGACCGGAGAATGCAGTATAATGTGAGCGCACACCATCTATTGTTCGCGTCTGGCTCACAAGGCCGAGGATAGCGTCAGCGAAAGGAAAGGCCCGCAGCCACAGCCTGCCGCTAGTCAGGCACCAGGTCCTCCATGTCAGGGCCAAAAAGGGTCGCATGGCCACGAATGGGCCTGGGTGGTGCCATGTGTTCCTGCTGCTGGCCGTCGTGTTGGCCTGGGCGCAGGAACAGGCGCAGGAACAGCCAAACAGGGTAGTCTCGGGCCCGAATAGATAGATTGGCGAAGGAGGAGCAGAGCACGGCGTGACAGAGCGGCCAGCGACGCTAGAACGACGCTTTACCTTCACGCTCTGAGCCTGAGCCTTCGATCAAGTTTGTTGGCCACAACGACCAGCGTGTACGTGCGTGCAGGCACAGGGTCCAGAATGTAACGAATGGTCTACTGGTCACTGTGATGCCAACAACGACTCAGAGTAGCACCGCATCTTGACAGGTCGAGATTGTTACGCTCGATTGCGGGAGCTCAAGAGTCGATTGCGCAGAATAGTACAGGCATATTTGTCAAGGCGGCACGGCACGATACAGTGGTCGTGGATCAAGCGGGAGCTCGAACCGACCTCAATGTGATCCCAATGCACCAGCTGGCGCGAGCTGTCTCAGCACTGACTGTCGGACTGTTTTTTTTGAGCATGTT